AAAAATAACATGCCAAAATTTTACATCGATGTCTTAAATAGTTTTTGAGTCACAGTCACATTTAAAGAGTATATATATACAAGTATATATGTAGTATAACGATCATTTTATCTTTAAAAGCGTTTTTCTCGAAACAGCATTTTCCGAATTTGCTGCAGCGATTACTCAAAAACAAATGTTACGATCACTATCAAATTTTTTTTACATGTTCTGTATATAGTTCTCCGTGAAATGAACTATCGATTTCTTGATCGGATCAAAAATCGAATTTTGGCAGTACAAAAACGACCAAAATTTTGGGTAAAATTCGACTTTTTTTAAAAAAAGGCCGTCATTTTGTCCATTTTTGATTTTTTTTTCTTCATCGTAGTTCATTTTACAAACAATATTATCTAGTTTAACAAGATTTTTCTTTTTTAAATTGCATCCATGTAGAAGGCCGGAATCACTGCAGCAGTGAAGGGCCTTTTTTTTGTCGCGCGGTTGAAGCTCGACGATAACTTAAAAAATATTTAATTTTTTTCTTCAAGAATTTTACTATGAATTCTCAATACATGTATAAATATATCCCCAAAATTTTGAAATGATTGATAAAGTAGTTTTTTAAATATAAATTCCCAAAAATCACCTTTTTTTAGGCGGTTACACTAGTTGTGCCCCTAAGACACGATGCCATGCGCCCCACTAGTTTGTTTCTTTTATTTCGACGACTGGCTGAAAATCATATCAAGATATATATATATATATATATATATATATATTAGTGTGTTGGTGTGTAAAATTTAAGAGGTTCTTAACACCGCGTGTCGTGAATCGTGAATCGGTATCAGTATAGTATACTCACTATACAAATGAATCTCCTCCTTCTTCCCTCTTTCTATTTTTATATGAGCTGTTAACGCGGTAATTTACGGCGGCAATTTGTTAAGCGGCGATTTGTTTTAAGACTTTTAAAACGGCCGACCGTCTCTCAAACTATTTATATACGAACATTGTACGCACACACCACAGACCACACCAACCAACAAATACTTATAACCATTTCCGATTTTCCTGAAATTTTACGACAGCAACTCGCCTGTAGGCCACACCGTTCGGAATTCGAAGTTGCGATATATGGGAAAAAAACTAAGAATTTTGAGACCTTTCTAACGATGTATAATACTTTATATGTTTTCTTTACAGAAATATCGAATCGTGAGGAGTATTGCTCCAACCTAGCCGCACTTTGCATTTTGACAAGTTAACATCTACACATATTGCTCTATAACATGAAAACCGTAAAAGATACGAAAAAACTTTGTTCGTACGAAAGATGCAGAATAAAATTATGAATAAAATGGTATATGAATGGTTAAGTATGTTCATATAATTTTCTCGAGATTTTCCGATTTTCCTGAAATTTTACGACGGCAACTCGCCTGTAGGCCACACCGTTTGGAATTCGAAGTTGCGATATATGGGAAAAAAACTAAGAATTATGAGACCTTTTTAACGATGTATAATACTTTATATGTTTTCTTTACAGAAATATCGAATCGTGAGGAGTTTTGCTCCAACCTAGCCGCACTTTGCATTTTGACAAGTTAACAACTACACATATTGCTCTATAACATCTAAACCGTAAAAGATACAAAAAAACTTTGTTCGTACGAAAGATGCAGAATAAAATTATGAATAAAATGGTATATGAATGGTTAAGTGTGTTCATATAATTTTCTCGAGATTTTCCGATTTTCCTGAAATTTTACGACGGCAACTCGTCTGTAGGCCACACCGTTCGGAATTCGAAGTTGCGATATACGGAAAAAAAACTAAGAATTTTGAGACCTTTCTAACGATGTATAATACTTTATATGTTTTATACACTCGCTAAACCAACCACTATACAATACACACAGTACTGGATTTACAGTAGGGGCAGTCGGCGCTACTGCCCAGGGCGGCAAATTTTCGGGGGCGACAAAATTTGGATAGTGAAAAAAAAATTTTACAATATAATAAACTCATTTTCTTAATAACATTTTTTATTCAAGAAATATAATTGACAGAACATAATACGATTGCAATGTAAAATTTGTCAATTTTGCTAATGAAAGGATTCGTAAATGCGCTAAAAAAGTTTAAGAAAAATATGTTCTTTAAATCTCGAGCACTCTTGAGATGACGAATTCGTGCACTTCTTAGCTTATAGTGTCAAAAAAAAAATTAAACTAGTGGAGTGTATGGCATCGTGCCTTAAGGCAAATTGCTGGAACTTCCCGTACCGCAACGAAATGTTCGAGGAATATTGAATGTTTTCAAATAGATTATTATTAATACTGTAACATTGTCTAATATTTATAAGAATTATATTAACTGAATTGCATAGTTGAAATTATTTGTTTAAAGTATATTAGAACTATAGTCAGAATTAAAAATGAAATCTGAATTATTTTCGATATATACAAAAAAAAATTTTTTTTTTGAAAAAAAAAATTGAAACAAATTTTTTTTCCAAAATCGATTATTTTGTTAAGATAAGCAGAAAGTTCTTTGAATCATTTAAATTGGACCCTTAGTTCTCTCAAAAACTGCCATTTTTTACACATTTAGCTCTGTATCTCCGAAACCGCTGGGCCTACCTTTTCCCGTCATTATGAACTGAATGTTTTTTGGATCAAACAAATCGGATACTTTGTTCTCTCAAAAACTCGATTTCTATTTTCTGCACTCTTTGCTCTTTATCTCCGTAACTGCTGGACCTGCCTTTGCCAAAAACTAATCAGCTCTTTTCCCTATCGATATGAATCGAATGTTTTTTGAACCATTCAAATCAGTTGATTCGTGCGCCCGAAAACGTGGACGAAAAAATGCGAACATACAAAATAGACACACACACGAACACTCACACATCCATTTAGTTTCTGAGTAATGCCCTTTAAAAATGTTCAAAAACCTTCGAAACGTCGAGAAATGCAAAAATTTTCATTTTCGATTTTCGGCCCATTAATATGTTTTCAAGTGAAATACCCGACATTGCTGCATTAATAAAAAATTCATCACTATTACAGAAATTGTAATAGAAATAGGACAACCGTTTAGGTTGCCATCAAAGTCATCACAAAAGCTCATAGAACTTGTTAATTTCAGATTACTGTTATATATAAAAATAATTTAAAAATTAGTTCAGTTCAATTACTAAAATTTTAACTATTTGCAACATTAATTTGTGGTGATCATACAAATCATTCCGTCAAAAAAGCAATACTTTCTAGTTATTATTATAACTAACTTTTTTATTATATTTTATTAGTCATTAACGAAAACTACTGTATTATTACTATATAACTACTATAATACTCATTATTATAATCAAAGTCCGATATTTGGGCGCCTCATGACAACAACCATTCCGACCAAGTAAAACAGCCAGAAAACATAAATCAAATATAAAACAATATCATCTACGACTTACCATTCAGAAGTACACTATATCAGCATCACAATTCTCCATAGTTTTTCACAAATCACTTCGAAATCCATTTATAATATCAAAATTAAAATCGCACATTGCACAAATACTCTACCGGCACTGACATAACCTCAATAACAAATACGAGACTAAACTCGTGTGAACAATCTGCCAATGGACGACAGAGTTACCAATAAGTCAAAAAAAAAAAATTGAAATAATAAATTTAAATATTATAATGAAAATATAATTAAATTTATTAATTATAAAACAATTTCTATAATAATAATAATAATATAGAAATATATAATATGTAAAGTAATTTTTTTTTCATATGGCTTTTGATATGCAAATCATAGGTTTAATTTATATGCCTATACAATTGGGTATTACTCAAAACTCTCTAGTAGACAGACAGTTCAATGTGAAACAATGATAGGTGTTTTTTTGTAATTTTTGTCATTTATTTCTACAATGTTACTATAGTTTTATTGTTCCTTAAATCTTAGAAATTTCCTTTGACAAACTCTAAAAAGAATTATCAAAATCTGAATAACCAAATCATACACCCGTACAGAACAATTATATACATACATATATATATATATATATATATATATAATATATATATATATATATATATATATTTGTAATATTTTTGCAGCCCAGTCGTCGAATTAAACAAAGATTAAATAATAAAAAATTATTTATTCCATTAAACGTTTCGACACTTGATGTGTCATCATTCAGTAATCTAAAAAAACATATTACATAAATACAAAGTTGATGATAAATATAAATATAAAAAAGGAGAAAATTATACATACCAAACCAGGAAAAACAACAGAAAAAATTAATTATGATGTAAAATTGAAACCTTGATCAGTGTCCATAATGCACCGCTATTAATAACATAAAATATAGGGGGGCAATATGTGCTCCTTTAATTTCTCGTTTGTTAATATAATAGTATATTATTATTTTACACAAGTTTAGTGTTCAATCAATTTTACATCATAATTAATTTTTTCTGTTGTTTTTCCTGGTTTGGTATGTATAATTTTCTCCTTTTTATATATTTATATTTATCATCAACTTTGCATTTATGTTGTATGTTTTTTAGATTACTGAATGATGACACACATCAAGTGTCGAAACGTTTAATGGAATAAATAATTTTGTTATTTAATCTTTGTTTAATTTGACAATTGGGCTGCAAAAATATTACAAATATGTATCAACGTCGACAAAACTATCATATATATATATATATATATATATATATATATATATATATTAATTAATTAATAAACAGCATTACTGTTACTATATAAACCTCATGTTATTCCTCGTTCATCAATTATATTTCATTCATATAAAAAGCACTGCTTTGTTAATAAACAAATTTGTTTCGCATTAAAAATATTAATTTGTGTTTATCATAATACTATTATACAATATACTTTAAAAAATTAAAAAAAAAAAAAACGTGATAACTGGAATGAACACAAAGAAAAAAAAACATACTTAAATATATATTATAAGCTATTCAATATTTATAATATAAAATTACAATAATGATATATTGGTACTAAACTTTATATTCAATCGCTCCAATCATCCAAATTTACATCCTGAAAGGAAAATTAATCAGAATAAAGTTACGGGGTTGAATTTACGTGTTGATTTTCAAACTTACTGTTGTGTCTATATTTTCGTCCAATTGAAGACCATCCAATTCAAGTTCCAGTTCCTCATCGACAGCTTCTACAGAGTTTTTGCGTTTAAATGCAGCTTGTTCATGCAACACGGTATTAGGTTGTTCATCACTCGCTACAATTATTGGTTTTGTGCCATTTGTTTGTTCGACGTGAACTGGTTTGCCTCCTTGTGATAGATAATCTAGCCATTCTTGTTTGGCGTTTCTTTCTATGTTTTGTGGAAACTGAAATATAATATATATATGTATGTATATATATATATGTATATATATATAATATATATATCTTCTATATATATAAAAATAAGTCGGGTTTTCCTTCCTGACGATATAACTCCAGAACGCTTGAACCGATTTCGACAATTTTGCATTCGTTGGAAAGGTCTCGGACACCGTGAGGTTTATAGCTAAGAAAATTAGTGGCTTTAATGCAAATTGCTGGAACTTCACGCACCGCAATTAAAAATTCGAGTAATAAAAATAATCAATAATTGTTTTAAATAATTGCAAATAGATTATCTTCTATATATAAGATAAGTCGGGTTTTCCTTCCTGATCAAATTTTTTCTTTTCAAATATAAAACAAACAAAAAATTTCTTCATCTTTCTCATGAAAACATCTGGTGGCGAAACGGAGTTCGTCGGGTTTGCTAGTATATATATATATAATTTTAATTTTTTTTCCTGGTGTGATACTGTATAAATATCAAAAAAAAAATACTTTAATGGT